GTTGTAAGTTGAGTGCTACTTTTATAAAACAGGCCTTAAGGTGATCAGAGATTAGAAAAAAGGAGACATTCCCATTATGCAACAACCAAGACAAGCACTTATTTACAAAGAAGTTAAACAACGGATTAAACAGAAATTACTTTCTCAGCCTACCTTTTGTGCCCAATAACAGACTGATTCTGGATTGTTGATTTCTTTGCCAAGCCGAGCAATGAGCTTTGACGGAGTCCATTTCATACCCTGAAAGGCAGGGAGGATCAAAGAATGGTTAGACAACACAGATGGGCATGGGAAAAAGTTAAGCGCAAGGATAAACATAACTGAATCTAATGAACAAAAATATAACTTTGGAACATAGAGTTAGGGTTTAATATTATTAGGACTTGGTTTTAGTGTTACACTGTCCTCCATCCCTTAGAATGTTATTTTTTTTTCTCCCTGGATTATGAAGGAAAAACCCAAAGATTCAAAATTAGCACACACATTTTGCAATTATCATAACAGAAAAACAAGTCAGACCTAGACTTTTCATCCTTAATATTCCAGGTCTCACCTCTGTGTCTTGTTCAGTCACCATCTGGTCCAGGATTGGCATTAGCCAGTCTTCAAACTTGCAGTAATTGTCATTGGGCACCAAGAGATTCCCAATCCTGGAGGAGGAAAAAGGAAATAAGCTATTGATTTCTGCCTTGCATTGCTTTTCTACAGTCCACGAATTATAGCATCTTCTCACAACTATATGTGAGATAATATAGATTATTTTATGAGAGAAAACCTGAAAGAAATATCAGGTCACAATACCAGTCACCAAGATACTGAAAAATACTGATATCTGATGGGGTTAGCACTACCAAAGGAACCACCTGTTAATTCCATTTTGCCGTAATTCTTTCCCTTGCAAACTAAAGTCTCCGATGTAAGTGGGTGCCAAGCATTTGATCAGATCTTCCTCCACACCACCTGCTGTGGTCACCAAAACATCAACCTACAAAATCAAAAGTAACATGATTTACGATTTATCACTTTATTGTTTGTATGTACATAGAGCTTATGTATGTACACTGAGAGCTTCTGCACCAGACACAAATTCCTTCTGTGTCCAATCACACTTGGCCAACAAAGTATTCTATTCTATTCTATTCTATTCTATTCTATTCTATTCTATTCTATTCTACTCTACTCTACTCTAAATTCCTATTCCACTCCACACTCCACTCCACTCTTTCTCTGTGAAGGATTACTTTAGTTCAGTGTTGCCATCAATCATACAATGTCAATGGCTGATTATCTCTTTTCAGAATGATTGAAAAAATATTTCCCATAACGTCTTTCTTTCCAGGCCTTGTATGTTCATTCAAATGCCAGAGAAACATGTGGTGTAATAAATTCCCCATAATTCTTCTTTCTAGAACACTCTCTTCCTTTTCCAGCCATATAAACATACTGTCCCAAAGGTGCTTTTTCAGGAGGCAACTGAACTTTTTTGTTTTTCTTTGAAGATGTTTCGCTTCTCATCCAAGAAGCTTCTTTAGCTCTGACTGGATGGTGGGTGAAGAAACTTCTTGGATGAGAAGCAAAACACCATCAAAGAAAAACAAGAAAGTCAGTTGCCTCCTGAAAAAGCATCTTTAGGACAACTATGACCTGGATGACTGAGAATCTTCACAGACACATAAACATACATTTTTTTCCTTAGAAATCAAAGGTGGAAACATATTTTTTAGTCAAGTCATACCATGTTATGTTGCACCAGATAACGGATGGTCTCACGCACACCTGAGCTGATGAGGTTGGAAGTGAAGCCCAAGAAAATTGTGCAGCCAGTCAGGCAGCGGGAACAGGGATTCAAATCAGCATGATTTCCTTTATCCTCACCTAATGGTGTCAACTTTGCTTCTATCTGCAACACAATCCAATTATTTGAATAAAATTCAACCCAGGTGCAACATTGTATTTCAGAGCTCATAGCAGGCAAGAAGGACAAACAAAATAAACAAATCTTGTCTACTAAACCAATAAATCTTTGCTTGATCTTTTAAGCCACTTATAATTGCCAAAGAAATGGGACACAGTCATAGAAAAAAGGTACATTTGATTAAAAAAAATGTTTAGTTTACTTCCAGATCAGATAATTGGAAATGCAAGGTGACGTGAAGGAGAAAAAAAATGTAAGAGTAGTTTGTGGGAGAATACCTTCCTTATTTCTAAAATAGTGATGAACAGAATTGTATCACACTTTTCTTTCCAAAAATCTAAGTCTAAATGAATCCTGTTGTTAAGAAAGGTTAAAAAAAAGAAGTGTGAACTGTAACGTGGCTTAGTTTATGGGTAAAAATTAGTTTCATTTTAATATGTGTTTAGAAAATAAGAACATGTTGGTGGATGTGAAATCTGTAGCAGGATCTGAACGTAGAAGAGAAGATGAGAAGGAGAATAGGCTATTTTGAGATGAGGTCAGCTGGCAAAGATAAAAGAATCTCACAACTGCATATTGATTTTAGTTGTCCTTACAAGTGATACATTTGGAAGAGATGTTTTGGCAATGGAGACTGTTTTTAAGATACAGGTAAAAGATACAGGTAAAAGTTCTGTACACAGACCTGAAATGTGTGAACAGTTTGTGCAAACAATGAACTTGTTCAATGCTTGACTTCCAATCATGGGTAGAAAAAATAAATAAAGTGAAATTCTACCAAAATAAAAAGGGTTCTTGGGGCAGCCACCATTTTGAGATGATTTCACCCAAAATCTACTTCATTCTCTCAGCCTCATATTACAGATTGCCCATCAAAATCTAGATCATAATTAATATTAACCAGTTGAATTCTATGTTGTAATGAGACAATAAGATTAAAGTTCATCATAGCATAACAATAATCTTTCCTATTTCTGCAGATTTGTTTTTTGGAATTGGGCAGCCTAGACATTGAGGAAATAAATAAAATTGGCTTTTTATAGTCATTTTGTGAAATACTGTGGTGTGCAGAGTATTACCAAAAAGCTGAATGTAGCCAAGTACAAATTCCTGTGATCCAATTGCATCATAAAATAAGCAAGCATAGAGAATATAACAATGTGAGCAAATAAAAGATACACAGGATAGGCAAGTATGTATATTCACTAAAAGTGAAAATAAGGATTTGTGATACAATAGAATAGAATAACAGAATTGGAAGGGACCTTGGAGGTCTTCTATTTCAACCCTCTGCTCAGGCAGGAAACTTCAGACAAATGGTTGTCCAATCTCTTCTTAAAAACTTCCAATGTTGGAGCATTTACAACTTCTGGAGGCAAGTTGTTCCACTGGTTAATTGTTCTAACTGTCAGGAAATTTCTCCTTAGTTCTAGGTGGCCTCTCTCCTTGATTAGTTTCCATCCATTGCTTTGTGTCCTGCCCTTAGGTGCTTTGGAGAATAGCTTGACTCCCTCTTCTGTGTGGCAACCTCTGAAATATTGGAACACTGGTATCATGTCCCCCCTAGTCCTTCTCTTCATTAAACTAGATATACCCAATTCCAGCAACCGTTCTTTATATGTTTTAGCCTAATTAAGCACATTCAAGGACGGAATCCAGTGTTTTCCTTTCTATCTAGTCTACTGTCTCTTCATCCCATTGTGAATCATTCTGGCCACTCACCATTCGATTGATCTCATTCACAGCCTGTCCAAAACTGGTAGCCTGGAAACCAGTGTTGAGATATGACTGGAGCAAGGCATGATAGTCTAATCCATGGTCAAAGTCATAGCCATGTACAGTTGAGCTCCCTTTAGGAAGTTCTGTGCTGGGCTTTAGTACAGCAGCTACTGCTCCAGCAGGTAGGGCACTGGTCACATTCTCCATCAGGTGGACAGTAAAACAATTTGTAGTCTGGGAAAATAAAGATTT